ATGTACATAGAACCTAGTTTTATGGTTGACATGACATAGCCCAAGTTTCTAAACTCCATCTTAGAAGCCTTATCACATTTTCTCTGCCTTCATTCTAGTAGGGAAAACATATTTGAAGAGCTCATTATACAATTTAATATTCTCCTATATAATAAAAGGCTAATATGCAAATTGACCAAAAGGCAGAGCGACCAGTCGCTATGATATACACTAACCACCAGGGGGCAGATGCTCAACACAGGAGCTGTCCCCTGGTGGTCAGTGCGGAGCGTGGCTCAGCCAGAAGCTCTAAGCCAGGCTCACGGCTGACGAGCACAGCAGCGCTGGCAGGAGCCTCTCCCACCTCTGTGGCAGCGCTAAGGATGGCTGACTGACGGCTCTGCAGAGAGCGGACCTAAGCTGTCAGTCAGACATCCCCCGAGGGCTCCCAGACTGCACAAATTTTGTGCATCAGGCCTCTAATTTAAATATAAAATAGTTTGAGAAAGAACAGAGATAAAGTAATGGTAAAAGAAGTAACCATCCACACTCCTGTAAAAGGATATTGTTCCCCGAAATTATCCATCAGACTTTTTTCCACTTCTTGTGGTCTTACCCAACACAGACTTACAGACCTAGAAATCAAAAGTCTCCCTGGGATTCTCAAATAAAGCATTAAAGTAGTAGGAATGTTTGAAGAAAGTAGTCTAACTCCATATATGCTATTAAAATTTAGTATATACAAAGTGAAAAACTTGTATAGAGATAACATTTTCATAAGAAAAACACTTGGAAGTAATTAAGACATTAAAATAAAATTTAAAAGAAAATTTAAATATCTATTCTAGATAACATTTCAATCACTTTGCTAAATAATTGAAAAAGTCAGGTTGCAATCTTAATTAAGTTCTGCAGAGGGAGCTAGCACCATAAAGAATAAATTTATAAGGCAGAACTTCAAGAAAAGACCTAGCCTGTTGGAAATATTGGATTTCTATTCATCAGCGTGAGCTCAGAGGTTTTACCTTTGCCATCAAAAACACAGAAAACCTACAAACTAGGGCACAGTTCTAGTAAACCATATTAAAATTTATAAAATGTAATATCCATATAAATACCTTCAAACACTTTGTGAAGTCAATATATTTGTTTTAAATATCATTCCTCCAAAAATGTAAAAAAATATTCTTTCCAAAGTCACTGAACTTAGTCAAAGTAAAAAGCAACAAAAAAGGTCTAAAATCTAATCACAGTCTATCCTTTCCTACTATACAAGTTAGAGTCTTTCCAAGCTTCGGTTTTTCTATAAAATGAGAATATACATGAAACTCAAAAGGTTGCTGTGAAAATTAAATTAGAGCATGAAAGTAATTAAAATGATCTTCTCTTCTCTTGTTATTTAATACATAAGTGTTATTTAATTGCTCAATACTTTCAAAAAGGAAATCAATAACTATATTCAGTAGAGAAAGTATTTTCAAGAATTAGATTAGTTGCTAGTAGATACTAAAATTTCCCCTAACTCCCAAATCCATATAATCCTCAAAAAGTCTAATTCAACCCTTAAGGGTATATGGACAGTGTAGGCATACCCTTTCTTTATTTTTCAGTTACGTATCTGTCATAGTTTCAGCATCCAAATACTCCCGTTTGTTTTAGACCCAGGAGAAAATAAGTCAACACACCAGCAGTTTCTGTTCTCTCCGTTCCATACTCATCCCACCTAGTATTCACCCCATAGATATCACATAGTGAAATACTATCAAGTAAATTGTTCACTGAAAAAAAAAAAAATCAATGAACTACACATGGACTGCGAAGCTCTGAAACTCTGAAACACCTTACCCTTCCCACGCCCGACAAAATCAAAGAGGCAGAGAGCAAATAAGACCATTACCCTTTTTGTTTCTAAAGAATTGTATGCTAGAAACTCAAACTATACCCACATGGATAGTGAGTTAACTAAAAGAGAAATAGCTAATTTAATAAATCATTTGCTAAATGGATAATAAAACAGCAAAGCACTAATGTAAACTCACAATGATATTGGAAAGACATTTTCTCCAAGAGGTTTTTATAAACATCATCGTACTCACCAAAACCTACATCACAACAAAGCTTTCCATGATTCTTTATAGTTCAAAACTTTTTCATATATAACTTCATCTAAACTTTCCCTAATGAAATAAAATAGAAGTATCACCACTTTACAAGTAAGGGTATTAAATTCAGATTAAGTGATTAAACTAAACCATACAGTTTGATACTGTGTGACATTTCCCAGAATTTCCTTCCCTATATGGTTTCGGTTAGGATTATCCACAGGAGAGAGTTATATATAATTTGGGAGTTGCAAGTAAAGCAGCTGCCATTTCACTACAAAGGTAGTTAATGGTTAAACGTAGTGAAAGACAGAGGAAAAGGGATGGGCAGTTTGTCCTACTTACCCCACTCTACCCCAGCTCACCTTTCCAACCAGGCCCAGGCCTATCACCAGACGGTCACTGAAAACTCACACAGGTGGTAACTGCAAAAGCCAACAACCCATCCATCCACCCCCTTCACAGTTCCTGCAGACACGCCTAGCTGCTTCCTACAGCTCCAATTCATGATCCTACACCAAAAGTGGTGAGTTCCTTTTGGGCCTTTATTTCTCTAGTTTTCCCACAATTGAAAAATCATTTAATTCCTATAATAAATTCCTTATTTCTTAATACTGATAGCAGAACTGAATCCTAACAGATACATCAAGGTTACAGTCCATGGCAAACTCATACATAAACTACATTTTTTCTAATGCTAAGGACAAGGCACCACAAATTTCTTCAAAGCATTTTAAGATTTACCACTAATGCCAAATATTTTTTATTTACCTATCACAGTGGTCGGCAAACTCAGTCAACAGAGCAAATATACCTCATATCTAGAATAGAGTACACTGCTTCTAAAAATTCATTTTTTATCTTGGCAGCTATCTTAAAAAGTTAAGTAAATAAATGTGAATCTTTTTTAAAAAGGCCTTCCCCATGCCTTGTATAGTGCAGCACACCAAAAAACCATCCTCAGCTATCAAGTTACTTCAGCCTGTGCTATTATCTTTGGTATTTGTCCCTGACTCCAGCCAACTTTTAACTTTTCTTATCTTAATCTTTATTCAAGATGATATACAATTTAGCTATTTATAAAGCAAACAGAAGTTTATGGAAACAAAATGGTACCATAACTGTAGCTATGTCCAATAAGAAAACCCCACAATTATAAAATCTTCAATTATTCATATGTAAAAGCCTCTGCGCACAGCTTGGGTGGGGCGGGGTCTCCGAGCGGAGCAAACAGCAATGGCTATCCTTCAGAACTGAAGGTCAGATATACTTATATACTCTGAGTAACATAATAAAATCTCATGCTATCCAGCCCCAACCCACTCAGGACATGAATCATCCCTTGGCCCAATGCATACAAGCTGTAGATCTACCCACCCGTTAGTCACGTAGTAGCTCTCTGGGTTACCAGATCCACCGTCACAGCATCACAGTGCTTGCTTTCGAGTCAACCTTATAGTAGCTTACTGTTATGTCACAATGCTTACGTCATTCACCTCACATCATCTCATCACGTAAGCACTGTATCATCTCACATCATCATTAGAAGGGTGAATATAGCACATTGAGATAGAAAGAAGGAAACATCATTCACATAACTTTTATTATAGTATGTTGTCATAATTATTCTATTTTATTAGTTATTATTTTTAACCTTATTGTGTCTAACTTATAAATTAAACTTCACCATAAGAATGTGTGTATGTGCCGAAACCGGTTTGGCTCAATGGGTAAGAGCGTCGGCTTGGGGACTGAGAGGTCCTGGGTTCGATTCCGGTCAAGGGCATGTAAATATAATACCTTGGTTGCGGGCATATCCCGGGTAGGGGGTGTGCAAGAGGCAGCTGATCGATGACTCTCTCTCATCGATGTTTCTAGCTCTCTATCTCTCTCCTTTCCTCTCTGTACAAAATCAATAAAAATATATTTTAAAAAAAAAAAGAATGTGTATGTATGTTTGTGCATGTGCGTGCGTGTGTGTGTGTGTGGGGGGGGATAGTATGTATAGCATTTGGTGCTATCTGTGATTTCAGGCATCCACTGCAGGTCTAGTAATGTATCCCCCATGGAAAAGGTAGGGCTAGAGTATTATCAAGTGTGGTCCAATCTGTAGTTTGCCTCTAGTTCCTCAAATTCTTAACTCTATAGTATTATTTGATGTGAAGTAGTTGCGTAACAAGATTATCAAAACTTTCTTACAGCACAATGGGGGAAGGGAGGAAAGCAGACAAGCTAGAAAATTGAAACATACAAAATATTTTTAGCTTCCCTCTCAGACAGTCTTATGATACTATAAAGGTTAAGGTACTGTGAACTTAAAGAACTCCCAAATTAGTAATTTTTAATTAAAAACGTCACAGTTCCTGTGAAGTAGTAATTTTTAAAATACCACTGTAGGACAGAAAAATAGGGATGGAGAAATCCCAGAATCACATATACAGTTATTTTTATCTGAAAGATAGAACCCTAAGGACATTAAATATCTAAAAAGAAACAAAATTTTATTCACATTTCAGGCCTTTTGAAGTGCTTTTACCTATGCTAAACAAGGACTAGGCATTTTTTCATAAGACAACGAAAGAAAAACATATATTTCTCTATCGTAAGCATGAGGCGGGGAAGTCAATTAAGTAAGAACCAAAAATTAACAGAGACAATTTAATATTTTATCTAGGGATAGAAAATGAAATGACCTATTTCCCAATTATGGAATACAATACTACATATTTTAATGTGCATACAGGAACAATTATTTCCTGTTAACCTTACATAGTATAAATATCCTAATCCTATGAGGATTAAAGTCATGGTGTTAATTATACCTTTATATTTCATATAACTTTAAAAATCTGATTATTTATGTATATCTACTCCATTGACAGGGCAAACTATGTACAATCTCCAGTTTAATGCACTTACAGTTCCTTATGCTTGTCTTCAGCCAAGATTTGGTCATTTGCTTTAAGAGAATACCTGTAACAGAGAACAAAAATATAGTGGTCATATAAACATACAAGTATGTTTATCTAACAGACATCTAACTATAGAACCAATAATTGACACCTATCAAAAAAGTACTATCAGCTGAAACCGGTTTGGCTCAGTGGATAGAGCGATGGCTTGCAGACCAGGTTCGATTCCGGTCAAGGGCATGTACATTGGTTGCGGGCATGGGCAGGAGGCAGCTGGTCGATGTTTCTCTCTCATTGATGTTTCTCTCTATCTCTCTCCTGTCCTCTCTGTGAAAAATCAATAAAATATGTTTTGTTTTTTTTTAAAGTACTATCACACTGTTACAGATCTCTGTTTTGATCTGTACAATGTAAAAAATGCCCAAGTTCTTTGCTGTTCAATTAGTCATGTCCAACACACCACAAGAATTAAAGAGACCAACTTGACCATGCTTTTCCAACACAAGATATATTCACTCTTCTTCTGTAGTGAATCATCTGTAGTTACTCATCTAGCAGGTCAAATTCAAGAAGCTACAACAATGGTAAGTATTTAAGAGTTCATTAAAAATATGCAGTTATTCGCCCTGGCCAGTGTGGCTCTATTGGCTGAACATTGTCTCATGCACCAAGAGGCTGCTGGTTCAATTCTTTGTCAGGGCACAATCCCAGGGTGTGAGCTCAATCTCCTGTAGGGGGTGTGCAGGAGGCAGCTATCAATGTTTCTCTCCAATCAATGTTTCTTTCACTCTCTCTCCCTCTTCTTTCCTCTCTTTAAAAATTCAGTAAAGCATATTTTTAAATATGCAGCTATTCATTCATAAAACACATAGTAACATCTACTGTATGCCAGACTATGTACCAGGTAGTGTGACACTGGAGAAAAAGTAAGTTTTGAAGTTCCTGACTAAACCATTTAGTGGCTTAAAGACTATAAGCAATTATTTCGCTCCTTTACATCTCAAATTCCTTATCCGTAAACTAGAGGCCCAGTGTACAAAATTCATCCAAGAGGAGGCTCTCCTTCCCCAGACACTGGCTTCCTTCTCGCACCCAGGACCCGGGCTCCCCTCTGGCCGCCAGCAGGCATCCGAGACCCAGGCTTCCTTCACAGCTTGGTCAGGAAGGTCGTCCATAATATGCAGTCTAATTAGCATATCACATTTTTATTATTATAGATTAGAAGTTGCTATAAATATTAGAACAGGGATCTTTCAAATTACTGTTGAAGATAACCGAGTTTCTAGAGCACACTACTGAAATAGGTTAAAAAGCAATGGACAGCAATTCCCAGGTTCTGATACAATTTCCACTTGTATTCCATCCTTTCCTAAAACTAATCTTCCCGACAATGGGTCAGAGGTCCAAGTGGAGTGACCATGTAGACTCTCCTTTCTTGCCTCCCTTTTCTCGGTACTTTTATCAATAAAAAGAGTATCATATCTATCATCCACCCTAAATAGATCTATATTGCACTGTGGAGTGTGTAAAAATCTCTGAAGTACAAAGCTAGGAATGATTCTTACTTTGTCCACAAAGCCTTCTGTAATACCACAAACTGACTACAAACTTCCTGTTTTATACACTGTCTCTATAAAGAATGAGGCCAGAAATTACAAATGAGGAACTGTGATAGTGTGTTCTATTTGCAGACACATAGGAATGGGGCAGAAGTTGTTGCAATTTTCATTTAAACAGTTTCTCTCTTCCATCCCATATTCATCACCAGAGAATGCATTATTTTCAGAAGGAGTACTATTAAACAACACTAAGACAGTTCCCAATAAGAAACAGGGAAGACAGTGTCACCTTATTTCTTTCAGGAAACAAACTTTAAAAAAGGCTCCTTCTCTTCCACCTATCTATCGAGGTTTAAATATCAAAAGATGGTTGTCACAGAAACACAGATCAAGCCATTAATCTGAACTGAAAAATGAGGCCAGATCTTTTCTATCATGAAAATAAATCTGACTGATTTGACAATGAAGAACAATTTTGCCAATAAGGCTCCAAGGCCTTAAACTGAATGAATGCCTTTAAAACAAATTTAAGATACTTGATAAAAAAAAACATTTTATCCAAAAAAGAATCCTTTTGACAATGGCATATTAAAATTAACAATATTTAACTTTTACCATCACCTCCTGAACTGTTGAGGTTAGCATACAGTCGAAACCAGTTTGGCTCAGCGGATAGAGCATCAGCCTGTGGACTGAAGAGTCCCAGGTTCGATTCCGGTCAAGGGCATGTACCTTGGTTGCAGGCACATCCTCAGTAGGGGGTGTGCAAGAGGCAGCTGATCGATGATTCTCTCTCATCAATGTTTCTAACTCTCTATCTCTCTCTCTTCCTCTCTGTAAAAAAATCAATAAAATATATATTTTTTTAAAAAGTTAGCATACAACTATAAGAAAAAACCAATAGACGTAATTACTAGTTATTTAAAAAGCCTTAATAAAGCCAATTTTGGTATACTTCCCAGAACTGCATGTCTCTAATGACTCTAATAATGGTTTCTAAATCTTTGCTTCCAACAAAATTGAAGATGAACTTAATCAAATTATCAGCTGATAAATAAAAATATGATAGAGTTCAAATAATTGAGTGATAAAGCTGAAACAAAAATCTATTACCATCCAAATTATGTCAACTTTTTTCTAAGCACTTACACCTCTAAATGAAGAAAGGGAAATAAAGTGATGCTAAACATTGTCTTATTGCAGCAATGTGTAATATTCATCCACAAAAGGTTAACTAAAAATAAAGATTAGCTTTAACCATGTCATCAAAAAGCATTTCCCATAACTTCATTTTCTTCTGTTTCATAAGTACTTAACATTTTAATACATTTATGTTGTTTTACTAACTACATGCTAATTATAATTGAATGACTAGGAGACATTTTTTTAATATATATTTTATTAATTTTTTACACAGAAGAAGGGAGAGAGATAGATAGCTGGAAACATCGATGAGAGAGAAACATCGATCAGCTGTCTCCTGCACACCTCCTACCAGGGATGTGCCCGCAACTAATGTACATGCCCTTGACCGGAATCGAACCTGGGACCTTTCAATCTGCAGACTGATGCTCTACCTACTGAGCCAAACCCATTTCGGCTAGAAGATATTTTTTAAATTCAATCTACATGCCTATTTTTAGTGAAGAGACTTGGCAGGGTGATCAATATGCATAAAGGCTTTACTGCATATATTATTTTCATAATATACTACATGCAAAATATAATTCCTACATAAAAATGCATTACATAAGGATAAAATCTGGTGAGGAAAAGCATAACATAAATACAAATTTGAACAGGAAAAAAAAAGTAAAATGTTAAATGTTAAAGAGCTTTTTTATTTAACACATTGTCACTGCAATAATTTAAGAAAGGTTTTGTTAAACTTTAAAAAAACAAAAACCTTATTCATGTATTTTTGGAAATGGATGGTTATAGGTATCACACCACTGTTATTTGTCAGTTTTACTTAATATTTCAATAAAAAGTCATAATTATTAACTTAATGAGAAAGTACTTCTTTAACAAAACATTTTTACATAGGTTAAAAAGCTTGAAACCAGTGGATTTGACAATATCTATCTTGCAGCAAAGTGCTTGGTACATATACAATAGGAATTCTATCAATATTTCTTTATTTTTAAATATATATGTTATACTGATTTTTCACAGAGAGGAAGAGAGAGGGGTTGAGAGTTAGAAACATCGATGAGAGAGAATCATCGATCAGCTGCCTCCTGCACACCCCCTACTGGGGATGTGCCAGCAACCGAGGTACATGCCCTTCCTTGACCGGAATCGAACCTGGGACCTTTCAGTCCGCAGGCCAACGCTCTATCCACTAAGCCAAACCGGTTTCGGCTCTTTCTTTCTTTAGCTGACTAGTGAGAAACAGCAAACATGTCTGGCTGAAAGACCTCGCAAATCAGAATAAAATATTTAATCCAGAGTTTATACTGGAGCTTCGCTCCCTAAGCATGGTTAATCAATTGCTTGCCCAAGTGGTTTAACTAGGTCGCCAGGTTGATTGACACCATATGACCCAAAGCCTCACCCTAATTCATATAACTGGTCGCACTACTGGGTGTAGCCAACCCCTATCCTAAACAAAAAGATACTTCCACATGTTTGATATAGATTACCTCCCAGGAGCCCAGAGCAAAGGCAAGATCTTTCTTTGAGCAAGGCCAAATTCTTTATACATGCCTATGTGCATGTCTGGTTGCTCTATATTGCTGTCTTAAATATTCTAATTTAAAAAATGGAATATTGATTTAGTTTGAAAATCAGAAAAAGGCACTTTTAGAGAGAGGTGATTTATTCTTCCAGGCAACTTAAATACCTTTCCAAAGTTCATACAAATAAACTCCATATTTACAGATCGTTATTTGTAAGGAAATTAAAACGATCAAACACCTTTAAAAATGTACACCAGAAATAATTCACACCTACAATTGTAAAGTTATGCTATAAACTAAAACAACTGCTTAAAGTTCATTTTGAAAGTAGGCAGGTTATAAATTATAATTATAATTTATAATTATATAATTATAATTATAATTATATCTATCTTGCAGCAAAGTGCTTGGTAAATATAAATTATAAATTTATGTAAAGGTAAATATACCAGCAGGACCATAATGAAATGGAGCTGTTTTTCATTGAAATATACATTTAAATGTTTAAATGTGGGTTTATAATTACACATAGTTTTCATTTTCATTTAGTATGTCCTGTTATGCCAACCTTACTACTGATTGGCAGAACAGAATATATAGAACCTTTTGAATCCCTTTTTCACTTTAACTTACTCTCTGATCATTAGATGTTTTATATTCATAAACTTCAAAGAGAAAATTAAACTTAGTAGAAAGTAGAAAGGTATACCTCAATTTTCTATCATGTCTTTCCCAGAACGATACAAAGCATACCCTATTTTTAAGTTAGACTTTGTTTTCTAAACATATCCATTTCTTTGATTCAAACATGAGCATAGTCC